AAGAATGGCTTGGTTAGTTTGACCACATTTGGTTACCTAAGCATTTTTCGTCATCCAAATTGGGGCCTTGCCACGCTTTTAATGAGAATCGGTTGAACCCTAGCAGGGGGGTGGGGTAAGAAACCAGCTATAAACAAACCAAGAAATGCGCCAAGTATGTGCTGCTTTTCGTCTGTGGAGGCAAGGGGGCGTGGTCCCCAAGCAGAACCCTAATTTCAATAACCCCCAGAAGGCCGCCCGGTTTCCTCCAAATTAAACTTCAACAAGGCCATAAGTTTCGGGTTCCTACTGTGGATGGACAGAATGCCTTTTTCAAGTGGCTTATCCTAGTCTGCGAATCACGCAGAATTGTGTGAATGAAACAAGAAGAGTGGCAGCCAGTTAGGCGGGGGATACGGAGGAAATGGCCGGAGTACCACCCACATTGAACTGGCTCGCAGAGAGCCTTTGACAGGGGTCAAACTTTACTTGCCACACAAACATGGCGCCAGTGAAGCTGGAAATCCGTTGAAAAGGCCATCAAACTGTCAAGGTTCAGTGTTCTCAAAAGGGACATGCACAAGCACCCCGTGTTTGATTGAGTTGCCGCTATTTCCCTTTCAAGGAGCACTGAGCTCTTTCTCTCTTAGAACTTGGTACGCATTCTCGGCAAACCTGTTGCTTCTCCAAGACCGCAATCCCTGTTTTAAGATGAAGTGAATGCTGGCATGCCGATGACCATGATTCAAACTGGCATGTCGAACTTGTCGAGAGGCATGAAGACTTTGCCTGTCATGAGATCGTCGTCTGGCAGCGCATGCGACTCATTGGAACATGCTAGGCTCTGCCGGTTATGCTGCGAAACCTGCTCACAGCGAAGCTGTTCTCCTGCGTGTTGCACACGATGCAAATCACCCACAACCGGCAACGACTGGAAATGCCCAGGCGATCATCGGCATTTGAGTCCCGGATGCCTTCATAATTCATGGGCATGTCTTTGTGTGCATGCATGCATGCATGCATGCATGCATGCATGCATGCATGCATGAATGTATGTATGTACGTACGTACGGTACATACGTACGTACGTACGTACGTACTTACGATTGTTTGTTGGTTGTTTGGTTGTTTGTTTGTTTGTGTGTTTGGTTGTTTGTTTGTTTGTTTGTTTGTTCGATTGATTGCTTCTTTGCTTGTTTGTTTATTGGTCGGTTGGTTGGTTGGTTGGTTGGCTGGCTGGCTGGCTGGCTGGCTTGCTTGCTTGCTTGCTTGCTTTACTCGTTTGTTTCTTTGGTTTGGCTTGGCTTGGCTTGGCTTGGCTTGGTGTGGTTTGGTTTGGTTTGGTTTTGGTTTTGGTTTGTTTGCTTGCTTGCTTGCTGGCTGGCTGGCTGGCTTGTTTGCGCGTTTGTGCGCTTGTGCGCTTGTGCGTTTGTTTGTTTGTTTGTTTGTTTGTTTGTTTGTTGGTTGGTTGATTGGTTGGTTGGCTGGTTGGTTGTTGGTTTGTTGGTTGGTTGGTTGGTTGGTTGGTTGGCTGGTTGGTTGTTGGTTGGTTGGTTGGTTGGTTGGTTGGTTGGTTGGTTGGTTGGTTGGTTGGCTGGCTGGCTGGCTGGCTGGCTGGCTGGCTGGCTGGCTGGCTGGCTGGCTGGCTGGCTGGCTGGTTGGTTGGTTGGTTGGTTGGTTGGTTGGTTGGTTGGTTGGTTGGTTGGTTGGTTGGTTGGTTGGTTTTTTGTTTCTTTCCTCCCTTCATTGATTGATTGACTGATTGGTTGGTTGGTTGGTTGGTTGGTTGGTTGGTTGGTTGGTTGGTTGATTACTTGTTTGTTTGGTTGTTTGTTTGTTTGCTTATGTACATACATATATACGCACATCACATACTGCAAGGGTCTAGAAAGGTTATCAGAATGGGGTTCCGGGGTCCTGTGAAGCCAAATTCAGTGACTATAGGAGTGAGGCTCATATAGGCAGACCCCATTGCAAGCTTTCTGCCTGTCTGTTGGTTGGTTGGTCGGTGTTTGTGTATATATGCATATATATATATATACATATATGTAAGCTTTCTGCATGACGGTCTTTCTCTCCAAGTCTCGGATGCGGTGGTTGGAGGTGTCAGCCACCAAGATGCTGCCATCTTGACCTCAGGCTCCGAACGGTGGGTGTTTGTGTTTGGGATTTTTGGAGGGTACCGTTGTCAGAAACTAAGAGGAAAACCACCCCTTTGGGGGGGACACCTACTTTTGGAAGCCGGGCAGAAAGATGCCGTCTGGCACAGTTTGGTTCAGGAAGGGGAGAGGTCCTGTGCGCATGTTCGGCACGCATAGAAAAACTGGCAAACAACTGGGGGATAGAAGGGGCCAGGGGCAAACCATCTTCTGACAGAGAACATCCGTTTTGGTTGAACCAAGAACCCCAACTGCTCTGTTTGGGGAATAAAATGCCCACATGTGTTCCTTTGCGACGCTGACCCCGAAACAAATGGACGACAACTTTGCCGTCGGCCATTCGTATGATTCAAAAATGAAAAACGAACCACCAAACAACAACAAAAAAGTCGCCCGAACCGGGACAGCACGCCTTGCGCAGTATGTAGTGAAACAAACATCCTGCAAGCATCCTCTGAGAAAGTAGTATGCAAATTTGCCCTTCGGAGGCTCAGCAGAACCGCAAGTGGTGGTTTGGATGGCTGGTGGGAAAGGCCATGTTTGTTGCCTTCCAATCCGACGTGGCCGGGTTAAACCGTCCAAATCATGTGGTAAAGGCGCTGCTTTGACTGGCCCAAACGTTTGCCTTAAGTTCCACGCTCCCCATTTCTCGTCTCAGCGGCAACTCGCCAACGCGCAGGCACGCTCGCCCAGGCGGGCGCTCGTGAGGGGCCCGTCGTGGAAGCCCGGCTCCGTCTCCTCAAAAGCGGCAAGCTGCAGAGGACAACGGCCTACACGAGCTCCCAAAAACAAAAACGCATTGTTTTGGCTTCCCTGCAACACCACCTCCAAAGGGCACCCTCAAAAACCCACCAACAAAGTTGTAATGGGCGTTAACATCAAGTCACCCTCCGCGATGAATCTGTGAAACAACTTCTGGCACACGTCTCCTGTTACCCGCGCAACCTTCGCAAGACCCCAAGTCACACTCCACGCTTGTGGGGGAGCAACGTGAGCCTTAACGCAGGGGCTTGCAAGGGTAGACATGGTATTGATGTAAGTCAGTAGGTGAGCTAGAGCTGAAGTCGCATTGCCAAGCTCAAGCATCCAAAGACTTGAGGAAAAAGACACACACCCACACACGCGCGCACACACACACACACACACACATCCGCCCACCCACCCACCCACGCACTCGCGCAAGAACCCACGCACACACAGAGCAACACTTGCCCTCTGTCAATCTTCTGTGAGGGTCAGGGTCAAGCCCAGCCGGAGGCTTGGGTCACGCACCGTAGTTTCGTTTCAAGCGGCGAACCCTCGACAAGACAGATTAGCCCAAGAATGCGCGCCGCAGCTTCGCTTGAGGACAAACCTTCGCGCTTTGGGCTGCTTCCTTTATTGGGGTGGATGACTCATCTCGCCTTTTTGTGCTAAGCCCATGTCTCAATGTGTGCCCAGCATTGGCTTAGGTTCCACGCAGCTGTCTGTGTGTCCAATCCTATTTCTTGAGGTGCTGGCGCTGGCGTTGGCATCCACCTCACTCTCATGGGCACCCTGATCCAGCTGCTGGTCACTATATACCGAAACCTCCCGGAGACACGGAGGCTGCAGGCCAAAGTACATGGCTTCGCGCATCGGCATCTTCGAGCTTCGCCAATGCTATCTTGCCTTTATTGGCATGGTTGATTCCAGTGAAACCGGAAACGACAGAGTCTCGCTGGCTTGCCCAAGACTCTATGATTTCGCAAAAATACATGTCCGATGTCAAGGTATACAGGTGTTTCACACACACACCATCACCCTCGCGCGCGCACATGCAACTGCACACACACACACACACACTCACAGCGCACGTGCAAACGCACACACACACACACACACACACACACCGACGACGACGACGACGACGACGACGACGACGACCACCACCACCACCACCACCACCACCACCACCATCAAATTCCGTAATTTGAACAGAGATGTGGCTCGTACTTCCCGCATGACGCCAAACCCCTGGCTCCTTGTTTAACCACGTAGACCCCGAGGTGCCGCTCAAAAGAAGCATCCCACCTGGCACGTCTCATGCCATGTTCTCTCGCTTGGCGCGCAACTCCAGTCTTGCTTGTGTGCTTTGTGCGAGTGAAACCATCGAGGCCTACGAGCTGTGACCAAACTCAATCTGCAACCAAAGTTAGTGCCCCAGCCTGTCACTGACGCCACCACACGTTCGCCGCTCTTCCTCAGTCCGCGCAGGCGGTTTCAGCAGAACCGCAGACTTTCAAGAGTGGGTGCTCCTCTTTAAAAAATGAGACTGCCCAATTCCATTCTAATTGTATATATCTGGACAATCTCCTGCATCGGGCTGGATGAAGCCAATATAAAATAGACCACCGACCAGCGCTCACGTCCATCCACATGTCCCTCCCGTATCTCCGCTCCAAGGGCCCCCGGCGCCAAGCTCCGTACCGTGTGCTCCCCCTCGAAGAGCGTGGAGACTTTGGCGATCGTCGGCTTGTCCGCCGGAACCTGGCGCCAGATGAGGCACGCGTGCGAGGTGACGTGAAGAGTTGACTGAGGAACTCCTGGAAAGACACACAAGGTCGTGACGTGACCAATTTCTCACAGTCGGAAGGCTCGTTTGCCGTGGCCTAGCATTCAAACCGGTCTTTGGTGTTGGGAAGCCATTGGGATTCCTTCAGAATGAGAATCTACCCCTAGATCCGTTTGTGCTCATCGCTTCGTAGCCTTTTCGCCGGGAAAGCCAAAGGTTCCAAAGACCTCTGCGCCAAACCAAAGGACAAAAGGACCCAATGCCAGTGTTCTGCCCTGGGAACAAACGTCAGCTTCAGGCCTCTAGTGAGGGGCCGCAAGGCATCCACCCTTTAAACTCCAGCTGCTGTGTACGGCCTATTCACCATGCCCCGAGCATCAGACGACGCAAGGAGAAGATGTCGCTCCCTGACCCTTCAAGAAAATTAACGGTCATAAATCACTTCCACCCAGAGAGCCAGGGTCAAAATCACTTGCTTCTCCAGCACGACACGGGAAAATGTGGGTTCCCATAAACAATCAGAAAACCGAGCGGCCAAAAATATGGCCTTGCCCAAATGGACATGGGAAAATGTTTAGAAGTCTCTAAACCAAAACTGATGGGACACCAAAAGCCATTCTTAGGGCAACAAAAGAAAAAGCTCGGCGACCCCCTTTGTTGTCACCTTCTCTTGCCTCTTTTTTTCACAATTTTCCTCTTCTGAGCCGACCCCCTTTGTCACCCTCCTGCCTTCTTTTCGGGCGCGGGCATCCTTTTGGACCCAGCCCTCGCTTCCACCCCATTTTGCACCAAGCCCTTTGCACCCATCTTGCACCCAATTGTGGCCCCTACCAACCCTTTCGCGCCAACCCCTTGGCACCAAGCCCTGTGTGCCCTCGGTTCCCGCGCCTCCGCCAAGGCGTCGCGGATGCTCCTGGAGGCGGCCACCCGCTCCTGGCGTGGGGTTTTTGGCACCAAGGAAGACGGGCATCCCCCCGGTGAAATGGGCGCGGCCACAAGGAGGACAACCCCAAAATGTTGGTCTGTTGTTTTTTTTTGTTGTTGTGTTGTTTTTGCCGGTGAAATGGGTGTAGGTCAAGCAGACCAAACTTGGGGTTGCCCTGGCAAATGGAGTCATGGACTAAAACCTGGCGGTTCTCTGGTGGTTGAATTTTGACCCATACCCAAATGAAAAAACAACTGGGAATGGAAGGATTAAACAAGGAAGATGTAATATGGAAATGGAAAAAATGATGATGGAAATGAAACCAAAGGTGAATGTAGATGGATCTTCATGGGCCTGGCTGAACGAACCCAAGGGGTTCCAGCCCCCTTTCAGGTCTCTTCAGGTTAGCTGCCCAAAAGAAACCACCCTGCAACCCACCTCCCGACCAAATACCACGGTTGCTTCATAAGCCTGCTGTTCCTCTGCCCCCGAGTTAAAAACTGCGACTGCCTCTTCCAAGAATCATGGAATAGGAGTGAAGGGCTTTGAAAGACCGCCGGAAATGCTGGAAAATGGCAGAAACAACTCGATGGTTGAAAGAAACATGTTGGAAACCGCAGAGGTAAACAGCAGAGACGCTTTTGAACGCCAAAACACAAAAACTCCGCTACTTGCCGTTACTTGCCCCATTATTTTACCATAATCAAAGTCACCCGCGTTCAGTGGTGGGTGTCTTGGGAAACAACCGATTCCATTCCAACTAACATAGCACCAGACATGGGGTCCCTTGAAGAGGAAACCAATCTTCCAGGTACCCTCCCAGAGGTGCCATGTTAGTGGAAGGGAGGGAAACCGCCTAAATAATTTTCACTAGCGCGCCCAGTCTGATGCTCTGCTCTCGAACCGTGGCGCTCGCCTTCTGACGCTCATCCTCCTTCCCCAGCCAGCGCATGGACTCCTCCGCCATGGCCCGCCACTCCTGAGCAGAGTCACTTGCTCAAAACCTGTGCTTGCATGACCTCTGCTTGTGTGACATCATACCTTTGGTCTGGGAGCGTGCATTAAAATGTGTCACAATCAAACCCCAGTATCAAAATGGTTGGCCCAGAACTTGGCTGTGACCCAAAATGGAACTTGCCCGATCGGTAAATGGAACCCACGCCACTTGCTCAAAACCCGGTAGTAAAATGGTCGTAATCCCAGAACCATGCTTCAAGAATTAAGAAGGCGGATATCCGCAGCTATGGTTGGGATTTTCCCTTACTAACCGGATCATCTACCCGGGTTTTGATTGTGGCTCACCAGAGGTCCAGGTTCCCATGGAACCCAAACAACCGTCGTATCTAAAGAAAGCTCCTTTTGGGAAGCCTCCTTGGGTTCCATGTTCATTTTTCGGGAAAGAAAGAAGCTCCATTTCTCAGTTGCCGCTGCTTCGCTGTTTGCTTGTATTTGTGGGTGCTTGCTGTTTGCGTTTTCTGGTTGTGTGTTGTGTACAGTTCTTGTGTGTTTGTGTTTGCTGTGTTGTGTTGTGTTGTGCTGACTGTGTGTGTTGTGCTCTGCAATGTTTTGTTGCGCTTTGTTGTGCGTTGTTGTGGGTTATTGTGAGTTGTTGTGTGTTGTTCGTTGTTCTGCTTTGGTACATCGTCTTTGTTTGTCGCGCTCTCCCTTTTCACATGTTCCTTGCAAGCTTGAAGAAATGCCGGCAACGGCCCAAAAACCGCTCACTGGCCTCGATCTTGGGCTCAGCTGCCATCAGCAACCGTCGCGACTCCAGCAGGACCTGCGCAGCTGTTCCTGTTGGGGTAACTTCCCTCATTGAAACTAGGGATCCTTCTTTGTGGAACACTGATCTGGGGGCAGGAAACTACAAGCAAATCTATGGCAGACCGAGAATTCGCAACACTTCGGCCCAGAGCCACCGGAGAACAAGCAAAAGCCACAGGCGTCCATGGCCTCCGCCGGATTGTCGCGCCCAAGGACCTGGCGAAAAAGGAAGAATGCAGGGGAGGTAGGTCGAGCCGGTCAAAACGTTTCAAACCAAAACCCTGGTGATGGTCACACGTGCACTATGGGGAAACCCCTGTGCCGGGGTTATTTCTTTGACCGTTGCTGGGTGATCAGTCAAAACCTGGGGCGGTATCCGGCCAACTGCCACCTGGGGGGGTCACTTCACTGGGTCATTTGACTGGTCACAAACCTCCTCTTGGGTTTGGGTTTCTCAATACCCACCATGCTGGTTCCCCTGAAGGGGCCTGGTGTCCCCAGAAAGGGTTGTGGAAGCTTTGCTATGTGGAGCTGTAGAATCACCTGACAAGAGGCTCTACTCCAATCACCTGGTTCTGCAAGCGTTGCTTTCCCACTCAAACAAGTAGAATCACCCGACAGCAAGGCCAATAGGAGCTGCTCATATGTAAGATCTAATTGGGGACCCGTTAGTGGATAACATCTACATGCGCTGCTCACTGTTTCTCAAAAAGGTCATCTGCCATCTGCTCCAACAAAACTTGAGATTTCACCTGCGAGTCCCATCTGCCATCTTCAAGACTAGGGCCCCACCCAACAGAGTTGCTTATGACCTCCCCTTGTCCCCTTGCCATCCATATCCGAATCACACTAAGCCAAACCCAAGCAGCTCCGTTCCGTTCCCAGCACATGTTGCCGCCCAGAAAGAGAAAAAAAAAGCTCAAACATATCCCCAACAGCACCACGCCCTCCCAGAATCCTCGCGGAACGCCTCGCCGCCGGTGTTGCTGAGGATGCCGCCCTGTAACTCAAAGCTAAGAGTGACAGCGCAATCGCGCCCTGATCGGAGCCTGACGGTGAAATTGGGGTCCGACGGCCCAGTCGGGGCCTGATCGGGGCCCGATCGGGGCGCGATGGTGCAATCGGGGTCCGATCGAGGCCCGATGGTCCTGTGGTGCAACCCCAGCCACCCCTATTTTTAAGATGCGGCATTACAATTGTATCTAGCAAAACTAGGCGACGCCAGCTTGGTACAGTTGACGGGGCCCGACTGAGTCGGGCCCCGATCGGGGCGCGATGGCGCAATCGGGGCCGATCGGGCCCCGACGGTGCACCCACCTGGGCCCGGTGAACCTCGCATCGTGGAACTCAGCGTGAAACTTTGTTGGAACCTTTTGTCAGGGCTGCCCCATAGCTGTTGCAGAACCTGGTGGAAACCTCGTGGAGCGTTTTTGCAACCTTACCCCATAGCAGGCTCGTGAGTAATACTCAGCAATGCCAAGCATTTACTCTGCTGCACCGTGAGTCCCGCAGCAACGTGATCTGATTTGCCACAAAGCCAATTTGCAACATTTCGGGCCGCGTTGCCCGAGCAAGTGAGCAGGTGACAAAACAATGAAAGTGTGCTGAAAACCATTGATTTCGGTTTTGCTTAGCGTTCCGCCCATGAGCACAGCGAGCTTCTGCTGCTCCGATGGCTTCTCAGTCCCTCCTCCACAAAGACAAGCAAAACCACGGAACCTTGCAGAACATTTCTGGATCCCTTGTGGAATCCTTGCGGAACTCTGTGGAGCCCTGTAAAACCTCAGGGCCGCCCCGAGGGCCGCCCCGGACCATCGCACAGCCCTCGCAGAACCTTGTGAAGCCCTCGAAACCAAACCTCAAACCACAACCACCCCACAGCCCTTGCAGCTGGTGGAAATTGCAGCTGGTGGAACCCTGGTGGAACCCCACCACGGACCACCCAGCCCCCGCAGCCCTTGCAGAAAATGGCGGAACCCTGGTGGACCCCTGCTAAACCCTCGCGGAACCTTACCTCAAACCACCCCGGACCACCAGCCCTCACAGAACCTGGTGGAACCCTGGTGGAGCCCTGGTGGTGGAACCCTCGTGGAACCTAACCTCAAAGTACAACCCTCGTGGAACCAAACCCACCCCACAGCCCTTGCACAACCTGAACCCTGGTGGAACGCTGGTAAAACGCTGGTGGAACCCTGTGGAACCCTCATGGAACCCTGGTGGAACCCTCGTGGAACCTTACCGACCACCCCGCAGCCCTCGCAGAACCTGGTGGAACCGTGGTGGAACCCTCGTGGAACCCTCGTGGAACCCTCGTGGAACCTTACCTCAAACCACCCCGACCACCCCGCAGCCCTCGCAACACCTGGTGGAACCTGGTGGAACCCTCCCCGACCACCCCGGAAACCAAGAAAAGGGCGAGGCTCGTCACGATTCACCCCCCTCCAAATTCCCTTGCGCAAAATCAAAACCATCCAACCTGGCTATTCCTTCAAACCCTCCCAAAGTCGGCGTCTCGTTGCTCGGCACCCGGAGACTTGGGGCTCGGCCTTCAGGGCTTCAAGGCTCTCCTCGATGTTGGTGGCCAGCTCCTCCCCGTGCACCGCCAGCAGCCCGGCCGTCTGCCTCGCTCGCTCGCGCGCGTCGAGGCCGATGCCTTCCCGACGTACCCGAAAGGTGTCAACATGGGGCCAGGACGTTTGGGGGAAATTTGTGTGTTCCAAGTGTGCGGTATTTTGACCAAACCGAAGAAGAAGAAAAAACTTCCCTCCAAGTGGTTGCTTGGAGCCAGTGGTTTGGAGGCTGGCGATGGCTTCCGTTCACCCTCTACAAATGCCAGGGGTTCAAAGCCTGAAACCGCCAATCCAAACCACCGAACAAGGGATGTGGCCCACTATGAATACGACGGGTTGAAAAACTTGAGGGTCAACATTTATCTCAAAATACGGGAACCCAAAAAACGGGTGTCCTTCAAAAACCACCCAAAACGGGATCCCCAAAAAGAAAGCTACGTTTGTCTCAAAATAGGGGATCCACCCAAAAAAAGCTACCAAACAAAACAAATCCCCCCCTTCTCCCCCCCCCAAAAAAAAAAGAAGGCCTGAAAACCGAAGAAGAAGAAAAACAAAGGTGTCCTTTGAAAACCAAACAGGGGATCCCTCCCCCAAAAAAAAGAAACAAAACGGGTGTCCTTTGAAAACCAAACAGGGGGCATCCCAAAACAAAAAGTGTCCTCTAAACACGACCAAAAGGAACCAACAAACAAAAAAACGGGCGCGGCCCTTTTCCGCGCAGGCCAATGGCTCTCCGCGTCCCGAACACCCCGCTTCCCGCTTCTCGCCTCAGCTGCTGCGCCGCCTCCGTCCAGGTCCGCTGCAGCGCCGTGGCGCTGCGCTGCAGCCGCGGCGCCGGGCAGAAGGCGCCCGACGACGCGGCCGGGGCCCCGGAGACAGAGACCACCTCGCCGCCCTGCGCGGCGAGGGAAATGTCTCCGGTGAGGCGGCCCCGGATATTTACAAGAAATGGGGTTTCCCCCCAAGAGGGGGGGAACCGGTGAGTAGTCCCCAGACAACATGGGCTCCCCAAGAGTACAGACATCTGCCAGCGAGGAGTCCTCAGATTTTAACATGGGTCGCCCAAAAAGGGTCCAAAAAGAGGTTCCCCAAGAAATGGGTTCCCCCAACAAAGGGTTTGCCCCAAGAAAGGGTTTGCCCAAAACAAGGAGGTTGCCCAAGACATGGCGGGTTGGCCAGACATCCGCCAGCGAGGAGTCCCCAGATGTTCAAGGAGACTCCACTAAGTTGTTGGGTTCCATGTTGCTCTACCAGTATCAAAGTCACCCAAGTGGGTAAAGGGAAACCACCCCAGTTTGTGACTTTGAAACACCCACGGCTCCCATTTCTGTGACCCATTTGGATGTGTCTTTAGGGGAACCCTCTTTGGTTGGTTTAAAGGCAACACAAAGGAAAACTCACCCATCCCCTAAAACAGACGCACCCATTTCTGTGATAGGCAAGCTGTGGAGAGCTGGGGGAAGTGCCCAGATTGATCCCTTGCTGGTCCCAGTTTGGTGGGGGAAGTGCCCAGATTGATCCCCTGCTGGTCCCAGTTTGGTGGTTGAAGGCCTTCCATTGGTATCAAAGAAATTTGCAATGTCCAGTTTCTCCAGGTGTTCCTCTTTACACACCAAAACAAAGATTCCCAAAA